GTCCGGCGGAGCCGAGCCCCTCCCAGGCGGGTCCGTCCACACCCGGCCGTGCTCCCAGGAAGGGGGCCATTCCTCGGACCCACCGGGCGCCAAGCTGGGCCCCGCCCACGCCAGACCCCATGGTGCAGGGCGCAGGCCACAGGCTCCCCCCGCCCTCCCAGGGGACAGAAGGCCCCTGTGACCACGCGCTCAGGCACGCTGCCCTGGGGCCCTGCGTGGCCATGGCTGTGTCCTGAGAGTACAGCACTCAGCCACTCCACGTGGACCTCCACCAAGTGACCCCTGACCTGGGCCAGAGGTGTCCCCTCCGCAGCCCGTCCTGAGGCCAGCGGCATGCGTCCTGCAGACCTGCCCCGGCCAGCATCCAGGCTCGGAGCGTCCCTGCGCTGCAGCGCTGCTTGGGCCTGCGGAGGGACGTGCAGTGGCAGTGTGGCGGTGGCTGTGCTCTGGCTTCCCCGGTGTCTAGGTGGTGGGGACGGGGACCCAAGCCGCTGTGCATTGAGTGCCCAGCCCCTCTTCCTTGGCCGCGTGACAGGCCCTACACTGCCCAGCGGCCTGCGCCTGCTCCTGAGGGCCGCGTGAGGGTGGCCGCTGCGCCTGGCCCTGGGGAGGCCACAGTGACTTGTTTGTCAGTCGTCCCTGAGGTTTGTTTTTAAACGCGGGTTGAGGACCTGGTGCCGGCCCGGCCGCTCCTTCTCGTGTCCCCCTTTTACCGTTTGAAACCTGAGCGCCCCGCCCAGGGCCCGGGGCACATGCGGGTGGCACGGGCCTCCCCACCCGGCTCCAGGACTCTCGCGTCCCCAGGACGAAGCCTGTCCCCTCCACAGACTCCCAGCCCGGCCAGTCCCACAGGCTGCCTCCCTCTCGGTGGCCGAGACTCCAGAGACTCCTGGCACGGACCACGCGTGTCCCTGTGTCTTCCGGTGTCACTGAGCACTGTGTCCTCAGGCCCGTCCCCTGCAGCCGGGTCAGAGTGCCCCTCATCTTCTGCCCTCCCACCCTTGACCCTCTGGGAAGCACGGGAGGCACTCGGCCACTTGCTGACCGCAGTCCGTTGCTGGGCTCCTGAGAGTCCCACGTGCAGACCTGTCCACCCCGGGCGCCCCTGGCCGCAGTGACCCCTCAAATGTAAGTTAAACCGACGTGAAGTCGGGGTTCAGGGCCAGGCTCACCTCGCAGGCGGGAGGCCCCGCTCCGTCCCCAGCAGCATGTACAGGGGGACAAACAGGATGAGGACTGTCCACCCACGACCAGGAACGGACTTTAACAAACAGGGAAATGTCCAGGTCGTCAGCGGGACCCATGCGTCCAGGCCGCTGTGGCAGGCGACCCAAGGTCACCAGGAGGCCCAGACGCGCCCACCCTCAGACACGGGCGCGGGGCCTCCCTGGCCGCCACAGACGCCCAGTGGCAGTGCAGGTCCGGCTAGTGTCCCCCCGGGTGCCTGAGCCCCGCACGGGCAGCCCCACGTCCCTGTCCTGGCTGAACTGGACGAGGCCCCGCGCATCACCGACCCCAGCCACCGCTCCAGGGTGGAGCCCAGCCCAGGGCAGAGGGCGCCGCCCAGGGTCACGGCCACTGGTCCGCCCGCGGAAGCTGTTGCGGGGGCCGCGTCAGGGCACGCGTGGCATCACGGCGGGTGCCCAGCGCCCCACGGTGCCTAGCGCCCCAGGGGACAAGGACCCGGCCCGGGCTGCTGCGTCCACCTGGGTGGAGGTGAGGCCAGCTCTGGAGGCGGGAGGGTGGCTGAGCTGGCTCGGCGGGGGGGAGGGGCGGGTGGCACGCCTGTGCCCCCCACTGGGGCGCGAAAGGCTTGCAAGGGGTCTTTGGGGCGGTCCTGGGGAGAAGGCTGGGGGGCACCCAGCCCTGCGCCAGTATACAGCAGGCACTCAGCACGGCTCAGAGGCGCTGCCCAGGGCCAGCAGGGCCACCCCGCCCCGCCTGGAGGGCCTGGGTCCTCTTTGTTTGTTTGTGGTAGTTGACACCTTGATCCCTCATTTATTTTCTGACCCCAGGGCCCCGCACGTGCTGGGCCACCGTGGCCGGCCGGATGGGTTCCCCAGGTCTGTTGGCCAGCCCGGGTGGGTTCCCGTGGTCTGTTGGCCAGCCCGGGTGGGTTCCCGTGGTCTGTTGGCCAGCCCGGGTGGGTTCCCGTGGTCTGTTGGCCAGCCCGGGTGGGTTCCCGAGGTCTGTTCGCCAGCCCGGGTGGGTTCCCGTGGTCTGTTTTGAGGACTTTACGTGCAGGTTTGCTG